GCTCTTGCCGGGCGGCGGCGGGTACCGGCTCGCAGCCGCGGCAGCCGCGGTGTCCAGCCCAGGGCAGCCCTCACCGCCAAGGCAGAGAGGTGGAAATCTGTGACCCCTCATTCTGCCCCCTCTCCTCTCTGCATCTCTGAATTTCCATAGGACATGCTGACTCCAGAGCATCCCCTGTTACTATGAGACACCCTCTGAGCAGCTGGGGTGAAGGGGGATGTCACGGGGGGCTGGGGATGCTCCTAGGTCTCTGGCTGAGCAGAGGGTCCCAGGGACAGTTTGGGGCAGCTCCACTCCAGGGGATGCTCCATCATATTCAGCAGAGCATGAGAGTCTGAGGACAGTGAGAGGTGAGCAATTACCTCCCAATGAGTTAACTATGTACAGAAACAGCACAAGGCTGATTAAGTAAAAAAAAAAAAAGGTTATCACAAACTAAAGAGTGTGTGGATTTATGGTATACTGACTGCACTGTGAAAACTACCTGTCATCCAGATGTACACGAGAGATGGCTTGTGCCTCTAAGAAAGATCTTGGTGGTTTAAAGGAGGCTTGAGACACAACAAAAACAAAACCCCACCCCTCCCCCCCCCAAAAAAAGGGGAAATAAATACAGAGGGGATGGGAAAAGAAGCATGAAAGATGAGAGAAAAACCTGAGTCTGAGTTTCCAGGTGGTTTTCAGGCTAGATCTGGACTGGACAGGGGCAGAACAGTCTCAAAGGCAGCAATATTACAGCCATCCCAGCTACTCCCTTTCACCCCAGGAGCAATAGATGACTTTAGAGCCTTAAATTAGCAAAGGCTTCGTTGCTTCGACAGGCAGCTGAACTGTGGAAAAGAGCCTGTGCATAAATAAACTGTGTGGTTCATGCAGAATTCACAGGTATCGATAGGTGAATTACCCCCGTGTCCCTGGACAAAGTCCCAATAAAGCCTGGGACAGGTGATGGAGTGAGAAGTCCTCAAGACAACCAAGAGACCCACAACCTTGGGTCCAGGCCCTGAAAAGAGGCCGACATGCCTGGGACTGACGCAGTGTTTGCCAGCAGACAGCTCTCTGCCCACCCTGAGCTGGGTGTCGGGTGGGCACAGCCAGGGCTGGGCAACGGGGCAGGGGGCTGCAGCCCTCCCTCCCACCATGGCCGGGGTCTCCAGCCCAGCAGGGTCTGTCCTGAGCCCCTGGGGTTCATGAGATCCAGTCAGTCTCACAGACTCAAGCACTCCGTGCAGCTGCAGAGAGGGCTGGACTTTACTAAACCCAAGCGTGAGAACACAAAATACACCTGCATCCTTCCAAGCATCCACAAAAGAGTCCAAAACACAACATTTGGAGGCAAAAAACACCTCTGTTCCTTCTGTTCCAAGCCATGTAGGCAGGATGTAACATTTGCATGGAAAAGACCAAGCTTTGCTGTGTTAGGTATGAAGAGAAATGCAGTGGGCATCCTTCAGGCAGGCTGGGCTCCCATCTTTCTGGGGGTGGACGGGGAAAATCCGGGAGGTCCCTTCCCTGCCCGTGTCCCTGGCTCACACCAACAGCACGAGGAGATCCTGGTGAAGCAAAGGGGTTACCTTCCCTCTCTGAACATTCTCTGCACAAGCGACGGGCACTGCCTTTGCTCCAGAGCAGAGCTGAGGTGCCAGCGGGGGGAACCTCAGGGCACAGCCAGAGCACTTACTTCGATAACATCAACATCTGCATTGGTGAAGTCGATGTTCAGCAACCTGGGGAGGGGAACCCCCACTCCTAGCACACCTGTGGGTCACAAGCCAGCCCAGCTCAGTATCGTGGGGTCACAGCTGAGCTTCTGCCTGGGGCTCGGTCCCCAGCTTCATCCACCCTGTGTGCAAACCCCTCCCTCCACCAGCGCAGGACTCTCCGGAGAGGCTTTGTGTCATGGGATTTAGCACTTTGGCAAAACATGGTTATTTGCTCCCACCAGCAAAGCGGCAGGCGGGGGGCAGCTCCGCAGAGGAGGCTGCGGGACCCCTGTTTTGTGACGTACAGGTTCGCCTCCTGGTGAACTGCCAGCTGAAATGACCCCCTTCCCCCCTGCCCCCCACTGCAGGTTGGTGCCACCGGTTCCTATTCTATACAGCAAGGTAAACTACACCTGCATAAATTCAGTGTGTAGGATATGGTCTAGCACAAACAAATATGTGGACAAGGCATAAGAGTTTCCTTACTGTTCAGTGCAGGCAGGAAGGCAACATCAAAAATCTGGCCAACGAGCATCTCCAGGAGTGAGACCTGCAACAGGGAGAGGGGTCGCTTAGTGCCACCGCTGGTCCCAGTCCCATGGTCAGCCTGGCCTCACCCTGTCCTTTGTGGGGATGCTCCGCTCACACCAGCTAAACCCAACCTGAACCCTCCAGCTCCACACACATCTAATGCAAACTCCCAATTTCACAGAAATTGGACTTTAAACATTCTATGGTCAATTTTTAGTCCCAAAATGATGCCATTCCACAGGCCCTTTCCCACTGGCATTAAAGCTGCCTGCAGTAACCACCTCTGGAAACCAGAAGTGGTTATCTGCAGGTATCCTGCCACAGGACAGCCCAGGATTCCTCCAAACTTTTGCTGTCGTCCCCTATGAGACACGGGCACGAGCATCCCCAGGCGCGTGCCAAGGGGATGTCGTGGGCATGTGCAGGGTTCGCCAAGGACCCAAAACCTCTCCCTCTCAGTGAGGATTTTTTCTAAAATCTGCTCATGGATCATCCATGAAAAAAAAAATCCATCTCCAGAGATGAAAAAAGGTGCTATTACAAACACGACACAACCGTTACACTGTAATTGACCCTTATTTCTTGTGAGCCAATATCTATCAGCACTTTGCTTTCTGCAATGGATTTTGTGTGTTGCTGAGGCTGCTCGTGTTCTTACATCAAAACCACCAACGGATGAAGACACCAAGAAGAGATTAGCCCTGCAGGAGGAAGCAGAGGTGAGTAAAATCCAAGCAGTTCCTCAGATGACCCAGTCCTGTCATTGCCCTCATCATTGCACAGCCCAGGAAGTCCCACGTCCATGGCCACCCCTGGCCACCCCCCAGATGAAGACCAGTGTCCTACTTCTCCAGGCTGACGCTGATCTTCAGTTTGTTGTCCTCGACTGAAAACTGGGCCAGCAAGGAGGCATCCTGCAGTCAGACAGAGAGGTCAGGGCAGGAGCTGCTCCTCCAGCCCTTGCCCAGCCTGCAGCCCAGCCATGTCACATCGGGTGCTGGTCCCATCTACCAGCACCCTTACACCTGCCATGCAGGAAGAAACTGCAGAAGGAATTTCTGCATGGATTGTTCCTTCGTACATACGATATTCAGAAAGCAGAGAGACTTCTGGACATCATCTGGGTGGATCACCATCACCTCTGTTGTAGCCATGAGCTGGATCACACCTTTATTTTTCTTTAAGGTCACCACTGGTGCTTCAGGGACTGCAATTTTCAGCAGCAATTCATGTGACTCGGGGTATGCCTTGAAAATCTGTCAACATCCAAAAATGGAAAGTTTCTGCAGGCAAGTGGTGCTGTAACCTGGAATCACAGAGCAGGCTGCCTACTCTGGCAGCGTTTGCACAGTGCTGCTCTCAGGGGGCAGATCTGATCCTGAATTGCTCCAGTCCAACAAGTCTGTATCTCAGTTGGCTGAAGTGATGTCAAGCTAGCTATGAGCTCAGCCCCATGGATACCCTGAACCCCACTGAGAACATCTCATGCCAGTTGGAGGACCACAGACAGCCCTGCATCCAGGCAGACGGGACAGCTGCAAGGCTGTGACCCAAGAGAGCTGCAGAAGATGGGGTGACGAACCGGGCTCTGGCCTGCCACGGTTTCCAGTTTTGGACCTAAGCCAGAGCTCGTTCAAGTCCATGGGACATCTGGGATGGTGCCTCTGAGGAGGAAGGGACAAGGAGACCTCCCCTGCCCCAGACGCTGCTTCTCTGACTGGGTTACTTGCGGTGCGAGGGGGAACCAGGACTCACTGCAGGAACCAGGGCTCCAAGGGTCGATGTCGTTAGTGGCGGGAGCTCAGGAAACTGTGACAAAGAGAGAAATGCTGCCCATGTGTGTGGCAGTTTTTGGCAGAATCTGCTTTCACCAGCAACACACCTGAGGCTTTTACCACATGGTCTCTGGCTCGCATTTTTTGCCTAAGATAGCAGAGACCCTGATAAATGGTAAAGAGGTGCTGAGGCATTGCGCAGTTTGTGTTGCTGACAGCCCCGAGCCCTTCCGAACCCGAGCGAGGTGGTGCTCCCCGCTCACCATGCCGGTGGAGATGTCCAGGTCCAGGGCACCCTCCTTCTGCAGGACAGACAGCACCGAGCTGAGGAAGTTCACAGAGAGGCCCAGCTGGGAGGAGCTGGTGTCTGCCATGGGTGGCAGGGGTGGCATGGGGACGCGTGGAGGTGTGGAGACAGCTTCTGACTTTCCCAGAGGATAGTCCACCAGGCCTCCTGCCACTCGCCCGACGACAGTCTGGAGTTACAGGGAAAAGAAGCACAGGTGAAAATGTTTGCAATGTTTGCCTTTACGGTTAACTTCATGTTCCTGCAGTGTGAAATCACTTCATGCACAACCACGCCAGGTCAGGCTCCGTGACACTTCCTTCTCCTGAAGTTCATGAAAAGCAAACCCTGCTGCGCTCTCCCATGACGGTGGCAGCAGCAAGAGCAGGGAACCGAGCCGGGACGTCCTTGAGCTTTTCACAGAGACTTTGGAGCCTGCTGTTTAGGTGTACGTGGCCCAAGGAGACCTTCCCAAATTCAAGTGAAATATCCCAACCCTTGTACATAGATGGAAGTAGAAGATGCAAAACTTACGTTCAAGTCTACCTCGAGGAACTGGCCAGTTACCAGGGGAAGGCTGGACACAGTGTACTGGATACTGCCCAGCAAACCCAGGGGCACCAGTGCTGGGGGGAGAGAAATGGAGTCAGCGATTCCCTGATGGTCTCGGCTGCAAATACTACCTCCCATGCCCAGCAGCTATTCTTCCAGAACAGCCCTGGCTTGCAGGTGGACTCAGGGCAGCCACTTGACCCCAGCTCTGAGTGCTCTGTGCTGAGCAGTAATGCCACAGGAGATGTCATTTCCCTAATGAGCAGTGCATGCCACTGCTACAAATGGAGGGGACAGCTCACAGCCCCTGTTGATGTCACCTTTATGCACCCAGGGATCCTTCTGTCCATGATTAGAGACATGGAAAGGGGAGATGTGGGGTGGGGGGCACATCTTGCAGCGTGCTGGGACACTGCTCCCTGGCTGCTGCCCGGGGGTGACAGGGTCTGGGCAGGGAGCTGCCAGGTGTCCCCACTCCTGGCATGGGGCAGACCTGAGGTCCACAGGGTGAAGCAGGGGGGTTGGTCTTCCCACTTGGGGTGGAGCAGTGGAGGGGAAAGTGTCACAGTCCTCACACAGCCGGAGAGGAGGTGACACCAGGAGCAAGGCAGGGCAAGGCATGGGACCCACCAAGTACTTACAGTTCACAAGACCCAGCTTGTCATTGACGAGTCCCAGCGCGATGTCAACCACTGGGCAGAGCTGTAAGAGTTGGGGAGGGATGGTGAGTAACCTGCGTTCAGAGCCAGACAAGGACATGCAGCCCAGCTCGGCTCTGCCGCACTTTCCCTGGGAATGGGAGCACCGGGTGCGTGGGATGGCAGTCCCATGGTGACTCCATAGTGCTGCTGAGGCTGCACCAGCTCCGAAGCTGGCCCTGGGCACCTTGCCCTTTCTCAGAGAAGCAGGGCTAGGACTGGGTCCCAGGACCCTGAGTGGAATGGCTGGAGAGACCCTGGGGCTTTCAGGAGGGAGAAGAGATTCAATTAGCCCATAACGTGGTCCAGGGCATCGTTAGAAACTCCCAGGCACTTGGGCAGACCTGCTCCGGTCTTGCTGACCTTGCCTTTGGAAGGAGGGAGGAGCTTCTCCCAAGCAGATGGAGACATGGCACGTGCCTCCCACTAATCCCAAACCACTGGGTGGGCAGGTGGACACAGCAGCCCTGGGACAGTGACCACGGTCCCACTCTGGGACATGAGTGATGCTGCGGGGATCTGCACCGCAGCTTTTCTGACTCATTGCTCCTTTCTGAGGTGGAGGTCTTTTCTGACTTACCAGATTAGGAAGAAGTCTGTTCAGGACACTTGCCAATAAATTATCCACAATTGGGAGCAGGCTGTGGAAAAATAAAGGAGCACCATGAAAAAAACCTGCTGGAAAGTAAATGAGTCTTGTTAAACAATTCCCTGTGAATAGTGCAGAGCACAGACCTCCTGGAGCAAGGCAATTGCAGCAGCAAAGTGCATCACGTATGCTTGGATTTTGCATGAGATAAGTGTAATTTGCATCCCAAAATAGCCAGTGGGAAATTTATTGCTGCCTTTTATCTACTAGTGTATAGTCTCCTCAAATGAGCAGAAACTACCTCAGCCCAAGTGGTTTCTATGAGTTACATACCAAGTGCTTACGGCTCAGAAGACCCCATGCAATGTCTGTTAAAATGACCCGTGAATGCGGCACATGGGACATGAATGTCCCCCTGGGACCGCTGTGGGGTCATGCAGCCCTCTGGGACAAAATGTCCATTTGCTGTGGCTGCGCGAGGGGCACACAGGGACCACCCCCCCTCTGCTTTGCTCAGCCCCATGATGTGGCAGGTGAGTGACTGTTTTACACCAGCTGCCAGTGTCACAGTCACCCGTGGGCCTGAGACGTGCAAAGGGGAAATGCCCTTGTGCGTTTGCCGTTCTGCAGGCGTGGGCTGGGGGCCAGCAAAGCCCAGTGGTGAGGTGGCTCATGCTGGCAGAGGAGGACACCTCCATCACTCACCCTCTCAGGAGCCTGACTTTAATGCCACCAAGGAGGGTATTGCATCTTTCTGTCACCAGCTTGGGGTAGCCCGTGCCGTCCATGGTGAGTCTGACCCTCGATGTGATGTTCACTTCCACTGCGATGTCGAGCAAACCCAGGAGGCTGTGCAAGGGGAAGAGAGCGACCTTCAGTGGAGCAGCCACTTCCCGGCACACAGGAGCCGGCTCTGTCCCCTGGAGACACCCCTCATTGGGGGTCCTTCCGCCAGACCCGGGGGCACGGCTGGCACTGCCACCAGCGCCAGCCTGACCTACCACTTGGCATTGAGGGCCACCCGTGTGTAGAGGTTGAGGTGGATGCCGACGCCAGGCAGGAGCTGCAGGGACACCCTGGGGAGAGTCAGCTCCACGATCCTCAGCCTGCAGGGACAGCGAGGGGGACACCACAAGTGATGGCTCTGAGCCCAGCACCCTGCCACCCGGGCTCTGCCACTCACATAAAGCCACTGCTCAAGGAGAGGGCGAGACAGAGGCCATTTAGATTGGAAATGGCAAAAGACGCCAAGTTTTTTCAGTTATTTTCCAGTTTTATCAGAAGCTTTGTTCTGGTCGCCTTATTATTGATTGTACATGTGCTTCTGCGTGCTGGGTTTCAAATAAGAGTTAAAACGGGACGGTTGCAAACAAGTGAGCATTGGCCTGGCAACCATGGCACAGGCTGCCCAGGGCCAATGCATGGTTTGGTGCACCCTCTACGGGCAAGCACCTTTCAACTACTATTTTCTTTAACTTTCCTCATGTAGCTCAAGAGGCTCTTTTGCAGCCAGTGATGCAAACCTGGCGGGACTTCCAGGCAGCATTTATCCCAAAGCATCATTTCCAAACCAGATCTGAGCACCTACCAAGGCATCACCATTGCTCCCCCCCAAAGAGCACTGAGGTTGTCCCCCCTGCAAGGACCCTGGCCGGTGCTGTCCTTACCCAGTGAGCCCCTGGATGGTGCTGAGCAAGCCACCTTCCCCAAGGACGCCGAGCAGGCCGCTGCCTCCCAGCAGCTCTCCATCGCCCAGAAGCCCTCCTCTGCCTAGAAGGCCACCAGGACCACTGAGGATCCCTGTCGTGCCAAGGAGACCTCCATCACCAAGCAGACCTCCTTGTCCCAGCGCTCCTCCAGCAACCCCCATGGGGATGCCATCCCAGGGAATATCACCACCAGCTGCTGGCCAGCCTCTGGGAGGGTTTCTGGGCTTCTCCCTGTAAGTGCCTCCACCACCTCCTCCACCCAGCAAGCCACCACCAGCATCACCCCCTCCACCAAGCAGACCACCAGTCAGCCCCCCTAGCAGCCCTCCACCATTGCCGCCCAGCAAACCACCAGTAATACCACCAAGCAGACCACCACCGCCGCTGCCACCACCAAGGAGACCTCCTCCGAGGCCACCCAACAGGTCTCCACTTCCATCTGTGCTGGGACGTCCACTTCCAAGTGGCACCTCTCCGAGGACACCTTGGAGGGCATTGCCTTGCCTGAGCGAGCCTGTAAGAGCTGGAAACATTGCCCACCATCAGCCTGCAAGGCAGACCTGCCTCCCTGGTCTCCGCTGCAGCCTTTGAGCAGGTGCCAGCCCCCTGCCCACACCATTACTTCTTGTGCTCCTCAAGTATGGGTTGTCGAGAGGTTTGTGCTCTCCATTACCATCGCTGCCTATTCCAGTCCCTAACTATCTGCTGTCAATTTTTCCCATATATAATGTAACAGAAAAAGCAGTTGGGCACTGATAAATCCTAAGTGTGAGATAACTGAGGTGCCGTGTGGTTTGCACCTCCTGAGCGGTGCAGGCTCCTGGCAGGAGCAATCCCCAATGCGAGCAATGTCTCTCGCCTTTTAGGAGCCTGGCCAGCTGAAATTTTAACACAAAAAAAAAAAAAAAAAAAAAAAAAAAAAAAAAAAATTACTCCAGGTTCATTTTGGAGGGGGAGGTTTGCACTCAAGCTTCATGCTCTTCCCTTCCATATGCAATTTCCCTCCCTTCCCCATCTGATCAGGCAGTGTGGTACCACAGCATCAACCAACCCCTGAGGACCAACATCGGTTCCTGTTTCCCAGAGTCCCACTACGAGGAGGCAGAGTAACTCACCATCAGTTAAAACACCTTTATTGAGCCTGAGGACGGCATCTTTTGGCTGGCTTAGCGATGGGGTCAGCAGGGCATACAAGAGGGCGATGCCCAGGATCGGTGGCATGGTGTCTTCTGCTCGGCTGGCAGCAGCTGTGGGTGCTGGCAGGACCTGGGGAAGGACAATGGGAAAAAGAGTGGGAATAGGCTGGATGAGCCCCTGGAGATAAAGGGGAGTCAGATATTTTAAGTTCAGTGAAAATTTTTCCGTGAATAGAACACATGAGCTTTAGGAGGACCAAATTCACAAGTTAGAGCCACACTCGGCAAACAGACCTGGACCCACACAAGTGGGGGAAGAGGGGGTCATCCGTACGCACAGCTGCAGGGGACATTTCAATCCAGCTTCTGCACAACCCCAGCACCTGTTTGCTTATTCTTATTTATGGGCACCCTGGGTAATGTGCTCCTTTCCATCCCTGGTTGCCGTGACATAATTCAAAACTTACAGTGTGGTATCGTTACTCATAACCTGTAGACTACACTGAGCTCCCCTCGCTAATAACCAACCTGTAAATGGGTATACAAATTATTGCTGCAATTATACAAGCAACTCACATTTGGAATAAAGCCTATTAGTTTTAAAATAACGTGTTTAAGCCTTATAACAATAAAAATAATAATAACAACCTTAAGAGGATATTGCAACACAAAAAATCCCTAACTTTTGTGTCACATAAATGGTTTTTTTCTTCAGAGAATCGTTTTCATTTTACTATAGCAACCGTATTTTCTGATTTTTTTCAGGCTAGTCACTAAATATAAACTAGAATTACTTACTTGCATTTCTATCATTATTGGTATTTTTCCCATGGTTTTTTTCTTGCTCACCAGGATATATTTTAAGGACTGTAAGTGAAATGGTGGCTCTGTCCTCCCAAGCTTACAACACCCTGTACCACTATTTTGACCATATTTACCTGGTCTTATCCCGAATTTCAAAGTCTGGCTTTGGTCTTCAGCGGTCAGCTCTTTGTCAAGAGGAGACCTTACAGCTGTCCATAGGCAACTCAGCTTTAACGTGGAGGAACAGTGGGTCCTTATATAGCAAAGTTGATGCGGAAAAAAGTGGAAAGATGCCTAAATTGTAAAAGCTATGCTAGTGGATTGAGTGCATAAAGCAGCATTTGTGGTTTTAATATATTCCAAGATAAATAAAGATTTGTAAAATAGGGAAGAGCATGGAGCAACAGGTTATTGGATGCCCAGTTATCAGCCAGTGCTGTTACCCAAGAGCCCAGAGCTAAAGCAAAGGAGAAGGAGCCCAAGACTCTGTGGGCTGCAGCACATGAAGCTGCCATTGACCCAAAAGAGCCATGCTGGAAAATCAGCATATTCCAGACAAATCCCCACTAACACTTGCACTCAGGCCGTCACACACAAACTACCATATTGGAGTAATTTTTCAAGTTTCCAGTGAGCACATAGGGAGGCTCCAGGAAAGTGCTGGGAGATTTTTATCTCCTTTAACGCTTGACCTGAGAAGTGGTTCCTGAGGATCATCCCACCCGTTCCCACAGCCACCAGCTGCTTCCTGGCAGACGGTATTTCCACAGCCTCAGAAAAGCCCCGTGCGGTGGGACACGCTGCTCCATATCAGCTCTAGACCATAAGGACGCTTTTGTCCTGGTGTCCTCAACTCTTAATACCTTTGTGAGATAAAACATGTTGCTAACAACCTGGTGCATCTTACACAATAAAGGGATAATATGCTCCTAAACAAAGCAGTACAGAGGTGTAAGCTCAGGTTATCGGTGCCTGGCTCCGTACAGAGCCTTGCACAACAAGCACCACTGGGCTCCATGTTGGACATGCTGCAAATGAGCCCCTGGCAAGGAGCTGCTCTCCCTGCAATGGCTGCAAAAAGGGCTCCAAATACATTGGAAATGTCAGCAAGCACTTTGCTAAATTCACGCCGTCATTGCGTTGCGAGCATCTCCTCTGCTCCCCGTCAGTGTGGCACACCCAGCCAGGCAGGGGATGGGCTGCAGCAGGGCATCCACGTGCACCAAACCCCAGCTCCCATGTGAGCTGCTGTTTCACACCTTGTGCCACAGGCTGAGCTTCAAAAACGCTTTCTGTAAGGTACCAGTTTGTTTGCCATAGGTACAGCCTCCTCTTCGAGCTGCACTGCCTGTCCGTGAGCCATATGGCATAGGGGCAGGGCAGAGAAGTGGATGCTGGCAGCCAGAAACCCATACCAAAAAAATATTCAGAGAGAGAAATACTGAGGCAGTTGAAGATTTTATTGAAAGAGCAATATGAGAGCAACATTTATGTCTATGAAAGAGCTCTGCTTCCTGACTACAGGTGTTAAAAGTGGCCACAAAACCCCTCCCCTAACATC